GCGTTAGCTTCTGCTAACTTTTTTACATGTTTAGCAGTTTAGCGTTAACTTCTGCTAACTTTTTTAACATGTTTAACAGTTTAGCGTTAGCTTCTGCTAACTTTTTTAACATGTTTAACAGTTTAGTGTTAGCGAATGCGAACTTATTTTTTTTTACCTGTTTAGCGTTAGCTTCTGCTAACTTTTTTTTTACCTGTTTAGCAGTTTAGCGTTAGCGAATCAATTTTTTTTGTTAGTGGAATGGGGGTTAGTGAAGCAAAGTTTTTGGTTAGCCGTGCCCACCACTGGTATTCCAAAATGTATTTTGTGTACTTTGTACTTTTTAAAGTATTATCTCCATACTATACTTTCACTTGAGTATGCTTTATTTAAATATTTTACTTAGTTACATTTGAAATCCTACCTGTTAGTAAATAAAATATGTGAATGTGATGTTAAATTGCAACTGGGAGGAGAAGAAAATGCACAACATGAGCCTGCAGTGACTGCATCTGCTCCGTACCAGCCATCCAGTGTACGTGACGATGACGAGACATGAACTACAAGTTTCCTCGTTAAATAAACTCGTACGATTGAGTACAAACTCCGCCCACTCAGCGAGCCACTTCATCTGCTGGAGAGGAATGAAATTCAGCAGACATGTCGGCTCATCACTTGTTCACTGGCAGGCCGCTACACTTCCACCACAACTGTTGAAGTAAATAATGAAATAAACTCTGACCATGTTTAAGAGACACTTTGACTCCACGTTGCTCTTGTGTCATTGTTTTGCATCTAAAACGAGACTTCCATCATTTAACTAAAGGCTTTGTGAAAACGAACAAGTTCTTTGGCACTGTTGTGGCTAGAAGGATAATTCTGAATGAAGCTATAATAATAATAATATAAAGTGCTATGTGTTATCATCATTGCATGTTCCCATTCAATGGTGAAATTGGTTCTCTGCATTTAACCCCTCACACCTGGGATACAACCAGGTGGAGCAGTGGGTTATGTAAGCGCCCAGGGAGAAATCAGGGATTAGATGTCTTGCGCAGAGACACCACGACATGTGGGCATGACTGGGGATCGAACCTGGGACTTTCGGGTCCCGAGTCAGCTGCCCTACCTCTACACCACATGTGTCAAACTTAAGGCCCGGGGGCCAAATGTGGCCCTTGTTGGCATCTTATCTGGCCCCCAAGATGATATTTTAAACATAAAATACTTTTGTCACTTTTTTTTCAGTAATCTTAATATGATGTCAAAAGTGCAACAGAAAACATCAAATGAGACCAACCAAACTCTTGTTGAGGAACTTGTAGCCAAGAAAAGATGTTGGGTATCTGACTTGAGTTGTTGTCGATTTCAAAACTGGCCCTTAGTTTGAAAAAGGTTTTAATTTTGTCCCGTTTTGAAAGTGACTTTGACACCCCTGCTCTACACCGTCTCTGTGACATCATGAAACAAGGAGCATGTCACAGAATCAATAAGTGCATGAAAATCTAGCATGTGCCAGGTTCCACGCACGTCGGGATGTACCAAAATGAACGTTGCGTGAAAGTGTGCTTAAATTTACGCTCGTTTTCGACCTGCTGTGCGAACGCATAAACCTCTTCAGTCCACAGTATCAAACTACAAAGTATTAAAACTCACTAAATACACCAAGATATGACTCTGATTGGTTTTCTGAACTTTAGGGGTAGCCTCTTTAAACAAGCATGACTTAAAAACTGTTCTGCAGCTGGCCACTAGAGGGCGCGTGTCCTTTGTGGCTTCAAATTCCAGCCTCTGTCTTTAAGATGTCACTCGATGGTTTTACTGGTTAAATCGGTTCAAATTTAGGACCATTTCTTTTAAAGTGGCTAGTTATACACATTTAGTTTTGATATTTTGTGTATTTAAACATAATTTTCGTGGATTATGCTTTTTCTAACAGAATTTAAAGAAAGCAGGACTGTTTAAAAGCCACCTACTCAGATAACTTGCATTAAAACAAAAATGATAAAGTCGAAGTATCCTTCAAAATATAAAAATCTATTTTAAGCTACAATAAATTGTATTTGAAAGCAGATATTTCTCTCCAATACTTGGAAAAATACACTTGACTTTCAGCTTTGAACCAACACCCTCACAACAAAAGCATCTTGTTCAGGAATATTTTTTTTCTGTTTCTTGTAACGGCTGAAAATCTTTGTTGTTGACACAAAACAGATTAAACACTGACGATACAAATCCTGCATTGTTAAAAGAAAAGGTCGGTTTGGGGGCACGGCAGTCTGCTGGCAAACAAAAACAAACAGAAAAGAAAAGAACGTGGTTTTATTCTGGGTTATGGATCATGTTTACTTTGGGTTGTGAAATGTTGCAGCAGATTAAACTCACACCGCTTCGGATAAGGTCGTAGAATAAAAAAACTACCTGTAAAACTTGAGCTGCTGGAGCAGTAAAACAAAATGAAACAGGGCTTTAAAGACAAATGCAAGAATTGTTTGTTAAAAATAAAAATGGAATGATTTTACTGTTTGTA